AGGGTTGGCTGTTTGAGTGAAAGAGATTGGATTATCAAATGGTTATTTTGTTATTTTTGGACCAATTTTCGGTCAGACGGCGTAATTCATTAACAATATAACAACTAGGTATAAAACAGCAAGTATCTGCGCAAATCTACATATTTAACATCAAATATGAGCGGCACGTTAATTAAACGCATGCTACTCCAATTATAACATTCAGTTTTAAATTGTCGGCATTTTATATTTTGTATCACATTTTACTATTTTATAAAATACGTGTTTGTCTGCTTTTAACGTGCATGAGATATAGAACACACAGAAAATCACTGAATGTCCAAAATAATCCCAAATGAGTAAAATCGAATCATAAAACAAGACCCTACAAAATCATTAAAAATATTCCGGCTTTTAATATGTTTAATATACTTTCCAGCTGTCTTCATTTACATACACTTGTATCATGAATCATAAACATTTCCAGAGAAAGAGATAGACTTTCGAGACCATTCCTTGAAACTAATGGGGTTTTCGGGGTTTTAGGCCCGAAAAACCCATTAGTTTCATTTCCAAAGAAAACTTAATGTAACATTGTTTTTTTTTTACTTTGATTCGTTTGATATTATATGTCCACTATTATATCCAGATATGCAGAGTTGAATCTAGGAATGATTTAAACAAGTTTTCATCTAAATCTTCTTTCTCAAGGTAAAGGTTGCTAATGTTTCAAAATATTGTGTTCCTCTGTGAAACCATCTAATAAATTTAGGAAAAAAATTAGAAACGATTTCAGCTCTGGAGTTTTTTTGCTTCTTTGCCGGTCTGGAGAAAAAACTCTAAAACTTTCTGTAATCTGCTGATGCAGATGCTTGTATAACTTGCAAAAGTACAGTACTTAACGCATATTTCGAATATAATGTTCAGAAGAGAAGCAGAAACGTTAGTCTTTTCTATTTTATGCCATCCGGCATATTTTTCCATTCTTCACCCAAGTAATCCTGCAAAGAAGAGACTCAAAACAATAACCGAATTGTTGTTAAACTTGAAAATTTGGACCTATTTTATTTTGTCAAAGAACAAGGCATTTTGAGACGCTTTTGCAAATGTACGCATTAACTATTTTCCTTTAAAGGCGGTCGGATATAATGAAGCAGCATTTTATGTAATCTCAGTCTCTCAGTGCTGAACTTTTATAGATAATTCGGATTGAATAATTCATCAATCCATTACTTTGTTATTCGAAAGATGTCGACGAAATTTTGAAAAACTTGCGCATATTTTAGCGTTTTTTTCGGTACAAGAATGAATTGGCAATTTAAAAGCCATCTTTCCTCTTCATTAAACTTTCAGATTTAAGTACGGGGAAACTTTCTCTGCATTTCAAAATGAATGGATTTTATATATGGGTTTGGGCAAATTTATTCATGCCAGGCCAATGTGCCGATCTGGGGTTTCGATATTATTAAGTTACGAAACTCTTTAGGTATATTGGCATTTCATTGTGAGGAACTTTTGTAAATATTCGGCAATTCTTCACAATATTTTACCGGGGTTTAGTTTTTAATACCCAATTTCATTAAATACGCATTTAAAAACGGGATGTTTATTGGAGGATATTAAGTAAATATGGAAAGTTAACTTACGTCCATGAGTAGATGAGCTTTTCCTGAGGCTTAGATAGACCAATCCACACTTTTTCGGTAATGTCCAGTTCCTTTAAGTAGGCTCGAATGGCGTCGTACTGCGAAGAAGAATCGGCTGAAACACAATCATAAAATCAATGAAAAGTTTTTGCATAGCGAAAGGTGGATTTGTGCAGAAAGGTTCAGGATAATTCAGTCATGTGCCTTGGCAGCTGATAGATTTTTCAATAAGAGCATATAAACGCGTATCGGTAGAGTCATTTTAAATTCCAGGTTTAGTTTGGGGCTCGAAAACACTCGAAACTATTGACTTTTTTTGGGGCGAGGAATCTATTTATGCACACCAAAAATTAAAGTTTATTAGCAAAGAGCAGTTTACTAAAGCAAAGCTTGCAAATTTTAGTCGCTTTACGGATGATAAAGTTAAATAAATTTAGCGATTTAACCACAAGATCATATAGGCAACATACCACTACAAACCGCAGTTAATGTAGCAAAACCCAGTTAACGAGAGAAGCTGCAATTTGACCGCTGTAGGCCCCAGAATGAATCGGATTTTGATTTATATCCTGGTCTACCGATTCCGCAATTAAGTGGCCGCTCGACCGATACGAAATAAATGTTAACCACATTCATTCAACGTATATTTGCTACATTCGACCTATGAGGTTTTCGGAATTAAAATTTGATGAACTGATCGGAATCTAATAGAGGGTTCGAGTCGCTGTTTTCGGCACATTTTAAGCGTTTTTCGAGCGTTCACGACCTTTAGCCGACGATTTCTTCCTTATTATTGACCCAAACCCTGTATAAATGCACCTTTTTGACATTCTTAAGTCAAAAGGAATCGATTCATCTCAAAAAACAGGCATGTGAAGTTTTTCCAAGGGTGGGGATCGATTTTTTGGAAAAATAAAAATTTTCTCAAGACGTCTTAAATTTTACATCATTTTCAACTCACGGACGCGAGGAATGCATGGAACTCATTAAAAAACATGGTAGCAGTTGCAGATCCGAAATAATCGACATTTTCGGCATATTTTAAGCGATTTTTGAGCTTTCACGATCTTTAGCCGACGATTTCTTCCTTATTATTGACACAAACGCTTCATAGATGCATATTTGTGACCTTCTTGCGTCGAAAGGAACCGATTAAGCTAAAAAAACACGCATGTGAAATTTTGATTTTTGGTCGAAAGTTTTCTAAAGGTGGAGGTCGATTTTTTGAAATAATTAAAATTTTCTGAAAATGTCTTAAATACTACATCATTTTCAACTCACGGAAGTGAGAAATGCATCGAACTCA